ACTGTTACCGCCTCATTCAAACACAAACCCCATGCTGGATGTTCAAGCACCAGATGAAGGGCAGATTTTCAATCCCAGGATCATCTTGATTCCAAAAAGATATACGTCTATGTAAAGCAAGTGTAGCCTGAATTAGAGGTTCCAGACACATGGACGGACAGACAGAATTTGCTGTTTATTTATAAGAAGAGTGTAGCCCACCAACAAAGTGACACTGAGGTACAAATATACAAAGCCCAATATAGCCATTATGGCAATCAGTTTGATAAAAATACACATGGACGGACAGACAGAATGTGCCGTTTATTTATTAATATGATTCTTGGCTGATCTATGTTTTAAATTTTTGATCCCTGTTGCATATACCCGCTCAGACAAATACTCATTCGTTCAACAACCACAAAGCTTTTCTGTGTTTTTTTTTATTTTTATTTAATGGTAAGTAGACATTCTGGTAGAGAGTGTACACATAATCTGGCATGGTTAAGTTTCAAAAGTTGTGATTTCATGCTAGCACAAATATCAACAACTTCCAGACACTGTCTCCTAGCTTACTACTATCAAGCTGCATCCCTAATATTGATCATAGGTCTAACAGCCATGCACCCCACATTTAGATTAAAAATAGCTACAAGGGAGAAGGAAAAGTGTACTTGGCAGCTGAAAACACTTAAAGTAAAATAGGAAAGAGATATTATGAAAGTAATTTTAGTTTTGTTTTTTTTTTTTTTTTGAGAGATATTACATACGTGTGTGTGCATGCCCCTTCACAAAAAAAAACTGTGCTCTTTAAATGACAATAAATGCAGTTTATTAACTTGCAAACAATATTAATGACTAAATTAAGATATTAATGTTTGACTTACAAAGATGATTAATAGTTTAAATTAAATATTAAATGAAATTAAATGCTTGCTGAGAGATATGCAAACTGATGATGAAGTCAAAACTTGTTTTGAGACAATCATCCAACACACACACACACACATATATATATATATATATATATATATATATATATATATATATATATATATATATAAAAATAGAAATAGAAAGGGGGAAAAAAACAGGAATTTTATTGGAGGGGGACACACCTAATTTTGCATTGCAGATGAGAGTAACTCTTCCCTCTTAATTTTGTCAGTTTTTATAGCTTTAATCAAATTTCGTATTTCTAATACGACCATCAAACTTATTACAGTATATTGCTATAATTATATGATTTTATTAAGTATTTCTTAATCTCTTATACTAATTTGTTTTAATTAAGTATTATCATAAGCAAGCGGAGGCATGGTGGAGTAATGGACAGCAGCTCATACTGAGGAATTGGAGAGCCTGTAGTCTGGTTGCACTTGAGCATATTCGAAGTTGATTGATGGTGAAGTGATGCATGCTTTTCTTTTTGGAGTTGTTTTAACCACAACTTTCTAATATTATTAACACATTTAAATTTTGAAGGTATGTTTGAGAATTCTTTTTTTAACACTTATGTATGTATCTAGAGTTAGAGGAAAGTTTAATTTTCCAGAGTGTCTGCACACACACACATATATATATATATATATATATATATATTCCTCAATCCTGGATAGCAGCTTGGATTGAGGAATCAGAGAGCAGAGTTCGAATTCCAGTTGAATGGCAAATAACTGACTTAGGTGGCTTTCTTGAGGAATCCATTCAAATCCATTACATTCACTTACATGCTAATACCCTTGGGAAAGGTACAATTCCTCTTTTTCTCCCCCCAGCTATGGGTAAATAGCAGGACAAACCAGGTTCTATAGCCTTGGATGGCAACCTACTGTGGGGGAAAAAAATCTGCCTCGTCAGTCACATATTGAAAGACATATGATCACCTAAGTGTTTATCACGCATAGCACATAACTGATATAAGCATGCACAGGAAGAAACACTAAGTTTAGTACAATGCAAGCTTTCAGTATACACAAGAGGAGGAATCAGAAAACATGCCTTGAGATTTCAGAAACAGTATGTAAATTGTCCATGAAAGAATGGCATGATTCTGATACCCCACAACAATATAAATCATTTTTGCCTAAAAGACCCCCCCCCATACTAATAATTATTGGTTTCAGTCACTGGCAATGTTTGCTAAAAATCCTCCCCCCACCTCAATATTATAGACAAATCCAATGCTGGGTTATCTCCTTAAACAATTTGTAAGAGTGAGAGAGACAATTTTCTGTCTTAACCCATGTTTTTTTTCTTGCATTGAGACTCACTCCGACCCCCGTCTTATATTTGCTTTACCTTTGCACTCGTCTTATTTTTAGTTCCCTTGCTGTATGTTCATTTCTTTAATTTTCTGTTTTGTTATTATTCATATGGGGAATTTTATCAATTCCACTTAAATATACCCACTTATTCAACAATTTTTACTATCCATGTTACACTTAAGGTAATTATTAAACTATCCCCTTTCTCCATTTACAGGAATTCCTCGGTAGTGACATTCAGAGAATTCAATAATTATTGAAACACTAATATTATCAAAGAACATTTTCAAATACTATGTTCAAGGTTTAGTTCAACCTATCTTTGATTTTGGGAGCCATCAATTTTTGTTGGTTTCCAGCTGGTGTCATGCCATGAACAGCTAAGACTGAATTAAAGTAAATGTATATGTAAGGACAGCTCTTTGTTTGAAAGTGCAGCAAACTTAAAATTAGTTCAGTTATGTTTGCAAAGTGTTTATCAGCATTTTTTTGACCCAATGTCTGGTATGATTTTCCGAGATGAAATATTAGAACACATTTACTTTGAATAAACGGAAAAGTCATTTTCCCTTCGTTTGATATCTGGATAACAAAAGTTTGGAGACGGGGGAGGAAAACAACAAAACCGAGAAAGTATTGTAAAGAAGAGAATAGTAGCAGAGTAGTGTAAGCAGAGAAAACCTTTGTCTATCATTCTCATGTCAATTCTATGCTGAAACATCAAAGACTAAAAGGACTTAAGGTAGTGTTTTACGTTTGACGGAGAACACGTGCGCGCACAGGGTAGGAGGGGGAGAAGAAAGGATAGCAGTGGAGTTAGAACAAGAAGCAGCTGCTATCTATTATTCTAGTCAGGGAATGATGAAAAAGTTAGTGTTTTCAGTTTGGTAGAGTCAAGCGAGATTTTTGTTGCTTCCATTCAGTCAGAACAGGTTTCTCTTGGAAACGGCCGTTAAGGAATGCATGCCCCAGTTTTCAAAGTTAGCTTTCACCCCCCACTATGTATATATAACTATATTTAAAATTTGCTATACTCATCAGGGAACAATGCTCAAAATTGTGGACAGAGCATTTGTAAGTACAACTCATCAGGGAACAATGCTCAAAATTGTGGACAGAGCATTTGTAAGTACAACTCATCAGGGAACAATGCTCAAAATTGTGGACAGAGCATTTGTACAACTCATCAGGGAACAATGCTCAAAATTGTGGACAGACAGAAGCAACTTTGCTCAAAATTGTGGACAGAGCATTTGTAAGTAACTCATCAGGAACAATGCTCAAAATTGTGGACAGAGCATTTGTAAGTACAACTCATCAGGGAACAATGCTCAAAATTGTGGACAGAGCATTTGTAAGTACAACTCATCAGGGAACAATGCTCAAAATTGTGGACAGAGCATTTGTAAGTACAACTCATCAGGGAACAATGCTCAAAATTGTGGACAGAGCATTTGTAAGTACAACTCATCAGGAACAATGCTCAAAATTGTGGACAGAGCATTTGTAAGTAACTCATCAGGGAACAATGCTCAAAATTGTGGACAGAGCATTTGTACAACTCATCAGGAACAATGCTCAAAATTGTGGACAGAGCATTTGTAAGTACAACTCATCAGGAACAATGCTCAAAATTGTGGACAGACATTTGTAAGCTAGATAGGAAAATGCTCAAAATTGCATGAGTGACTGGCAGTTTCAGGGAACAATGCTCAAAATTGTGGACATCTTTAGACAGGCTAGATATAGAAATCAATTGCATTGACTGATTTCATTTTTACTATACATGTTGATTTTTACTAGAACATTGTTCTTTCTTCCGATGATAACTTGAGAAATTTCTGCAAGCATCAACCTTTTTTTTTTTTTAAAAACAAGTGAATGAAAAATATTTATCCTGGCTACAGTAATTTGATACCTAAAGCCAAACATTGTTAATAGGTATCCCCTTGTTCAAGCTGAATCAGAACTTAGGAAGGTGATGACATCTTTGCCAAGTTGAGAGAGAGGAAAAAAAAATCACCTGTATGCATGATGTATACCATTTTCTATCTTCATCTGATGGATCAAATTTGTTAGTATGTATGGAATTGTCAGTTGGAAGTTAAAAGAAGAAAACAGGCTGTAAAGATTAAGAAAATCTTTTCATAATTAAAAAATAAAAAATTGTATATACAGAATATGAGGCAAACTAGAAAGTTTTATTTCTGTTTTTTTATTATTTCTTTTCCTTAGTATCATGGAAGGCACAGATTGATGGGATATAAAAAAAAACAAATAAATAAAATAAAATAATAATAATGATAATAAAAAAAAAAAAAAAATATACTTGTGCCAAATCTTATATCAGAGGGTTTTTATTTAACTTTGTAATATACATTTGTTTAGCTTTATTATTTTTTTTTTTTTTTTTAATCCTGGTGTGGAAAAAAAAAATTAAAAAGGGGGTTGTCAAATAAGGTAGTATTTTTTTTTTTTAAAGGGGCAAAAAGTTTTGAAAAAAAAAAAAAAAAAAAAAAAAAAAAAAAAATTCCCTCCCCCCACATTTGTTTTATTGATTTGTTGGTATTTGGGAATTTTCACAAATGAAGGCATAGGACTAAAAGTGAAGGCTCACTGGGAAACTAAAATAAAATAAAATTTCACAGTTATTAAAAATAACCAACAGATAACTTAGCCATGAAAGATTCAATGTACACAATGCAGTGGTGGTGATGAATTTTTTTTTTTTTTTTCCAAGGAGTCCTTTTAATGTTAAAAGAAAACAAACAAAAAAAAAAAGAAAAAAAAAGGGAAAAAAGAAAAAAAGAAAAAAGAGTATGGAAAGAAGTAGGAAAAAAAAGTAAAAGGAAAGAGAGAAAGAGAGAGAGAGAGAGAGAGAGAGAGAAAGAGAGAGAAAAAGAAGAAAAAAGATCCACTATAGCTCCATTGGTTCTTCATCTGGAGTGTTTGATTCTGGTAGTTGGGAGACAGGGCTGGTTGCACTGGAAGCAGCAGATTCCAAAGGTTCTGATTTGGAGTCACTTGATTTGGGCTCCTGTTTTGCTAGCCCACTTTCAGAGCAGTCAGTCTCCATCACTGAGGAGGCTTCATTACTGCTGCCATCCTCTTCCTCCTCTGAGGAATTCGTTAATTTAGAATCCTTGGCTTGAGATGCTTCTTTTGATGATGATGACGATGAGGACTCTGCAGATGTTGCCGGCATTTCATCAGTAGAGGAGACTGAATTGTCTGTGCAAGGGACATCAGCTGGAAATTGCCCAGCATCTGCTGTCAACTTTGCTGCTGCTTCCATACTGGAAGTGGTCTTGGTGATGGCTGTGGCGGTGATAGTAGTGTTGGAGGTGGTAGAAGCAGTACAGGTTACCATGGGAGTCTCGGTTGAAGCTGGAGAGTCTACGGATTCAGAAGATGTGGAGGATGACGTAGATGAGGTGCTGGATTCTTCCGACATCTCTTGAGAGTGCTCAGAGGTGCTGACAACAGTACTGGAATTTGTACTAGCCAAGACTGATTCAGGTTTGCTGCTGCTGGTCGTATCAGCAAGGTCACATTTGGAATCGGCATCTGAAGACTCTGCAGAATTTTCTGCAAAACTTGGCATGTCTTCTTCAACCATTTCTGTACCTAAAAATAGAAGGAAAAAAAAAAAAAAAAAAAAAAATTTAGTCAAAACACACATTAAAAACTAGTTACATTTATATGAATGCCATGCACAACTCGAAGCTCATTCAGAAATATCTAAACTGTCAGATGCATACAACAGCGTTCAATGTCAGCAGCTGGTCGAAATCATGCAGGCAGCAGTATGCAGCAGCCATTGCCGCAAGAGAGGCTGACTTGTTGCTTGCTAGCAGAATCGAGGCAGGCGACTGTGTGATGAAAAGCAACTCAATCCCCTTAGCTTTACACCATTTCCCAATCTGCTCTATTTTAAAAATAATCACATGTCAACAAGCAGGCTGTCTCTTTTTGGTACCATGGCCAATTTAACCCTGATCACAACAAACAGCAACACACAATTGTTCTACTAGCAATTTCTCAGAGTCATCAACAGTGCTAAAAAGTAATCCTGTATTCATATCAACAACCCCTGAGAAAATAAACACATTCTTTCTTTCATTTTTAACCCAGATACTGGATGGGGGAGGCATCAACACTGAACAAATTAAACCCATGATACCCTGTATTTAGTTAAAACTTCCAAAGACATTACAAAAACCAAAACAGTTAAAATGAGGGTATGAAAAACTGATCATAAAAACTCACGCTATACTCTATCATATATAGTACATTATTTATTTTTTTTGTAAACTTTTGTGCATATCTAAGAACAATGAGCTTTATAACTTGCTC